TGAAGGTGGGAACAAAAATGAGTATCTCAAATTTAGCTAAAGCTAGCAAAAAAAAACATCCTCAGCTCAACCCCAGTCTTATGTATCAGAGATCAATTGGTGCAATGTTACAGCAAGAAAAAAACAATACTTTTCAGAAGGATATGCAAACCACATTACAATACATACAGGAGGCAATTACATCACTTAAAGAAGATACAAAGTGAAATCAGGAAGAAACAAAGGATAACTTTGATAAAGTGAAGGAAGAAATTCACAACTTGAAATCCCAAATGGAAAACTTCCAACAGAAGATCTCAAAGAATAAGCAAAGGATCCAGACAAATCAGCAGAAACCAATCAAAAGATGGAAGAAATAAAAGATGAAAACCAAAGATTGATACAGACAAATAGAGAACTAGAGGATTCAGTAGCAGTTTTAGAAATAGAAAAGACATCCTATTTCTTAAGATTGCAGAATATAATGGAAGACAAGGAAGAAGACCTTGCTGATCTGATGATAGAACTGCTGGCTGGTGCGCTGGAAGTGGGGAAGCAGGAAATGGAGGGAGAAATAGATTAAATATTTAGAGTTAACTTAAGCTACGCAAGAAGAAACAAAGTCCCCAGAGAGATCCATGTCAGATTTGTTAAAAGATCAATAAGAGATGAAATATTGAGAAGAGTGAGGGATGATCCATTGCTATATAAGGGAAAAGAAATTGTGGTGTTAAAGCAGATACCTAGAAGGATAAGGGATTCATGAAGAGAATATCAATTTTTGACCAAAAAACTAATTAAGAAAGGAGTGAGCTTTAGATGGCTGATGCCGGAAGGGATATTAATCAATTAGGATACAAAAAGATACAGATACCCTATCTTCAAAGCAAGGAAATTTTATGACAGATACAGCTTTTCTCTTAGAAGGAAACCCAGAATTTCAACCAGAAGGGGAATTTAAAAAACAGGAAGAGACAACATTAGAAGTGGCAGCCAAACAAAGAGAAGTGGAAAAAATAAAAACCATAAACCAAGAAGGAGCCAAAGGGAAAGAACAGAGACAAACGAGAAGTACTAGGACAGTGGTGGTGAACCTATGGCACAGGTGTCAGAGGCGGCACTCAGAGCCCTCTCTGCGGGCACATGTGCTGTTGCCCCAGCATTGCCTCCCCCCATGACCCCCTCCTCTCCAGCAGCCCCCTGAAGGAAAGTTGCCCTCAAGCATGGCCCACACAGAGCAGCGCAGCTAAGGACATGCCATCCAGGCAATGTAGACAAGACTCTGCCCTCACATCCCATCATGCAGTTGATGCTGCAGGGAGCAGGCAGAGGGTGTGGCCGCCATAGCGCTGCTGGGCTGCCTGGGCGATCTGCGGTGGGCCCTGGAGGCAGTGAGTGGTTCTATGGGCAGGCAGAGCAGGGGATGGGGAGGCAGAGTGGGGGTGGGGCAGGGGGGTGGAGCGGGGCAGGGGCAGTTTTTGGGGATTCAGTCTCTAAAAGGTTCACCATCACTGTACTAGGAGAATAAATCCTAAACATAATTGAAGAAGATGGAAAAGGACAATGGGATGCTCTCAATAAATATAAATGGATTGAATTCCCCCATAAAGAGGAAAAACTCTTTACACGATTACAAAAATTAAAAATGGATATAGTTTGCCCACAGGAAACATATATTAAAAGACAACATTATAAATTTCTGGAATACCCGAAAACTGGGAAACTTTATTTCTCATTAGTACAATAAAAGAAAAGAAGAGTAGCTTTATATATCAAAGAAACAATGAACCCCAAACAATTCTACTTGGATGAAGAAGAATACTAATGGTAGAAATAACGATAAATTAAAAACAGACATTGATGCTAGCAATTAACACACCAAATAACAAACAAGAAGAATTTTATCAACAATTACACAAGAAAATAGTGGAAATGGACTACCAAAATATTTGTTTAGTAGGAGATTTTAACACAATTGTAGATGGAAAATTAGACTATAGGAGTAATAAAATAGGGAAAAAAGGAAGGAACATTTTGCCTAAGACTTTTTTCAGAATGGCAGAAGAAATTTGTATACAAGATACAGGAGAGAAATAAATTCTAAGAAATTTCAATATACATTTTATTCAAACAGCCACAAATCATGGTCTAGAATTGACATGATATGGATATCTCCTGAATTAAGAAGAGATATACAAGAAATCGAGATAGAAACTAATGTATGGGCAGACCATAATCCGATAAAGATGACGTGGAGAGGAACAAAGAAAAAAATAAGATGGACTTTAAACCAATTCTTATTGAAAGAGAAAGAATTTATACAAAAAGCTGTAAAGGAAATGTGATTTTTTTTTTAAAGAAAATAAGAAAGAAGATACATCACTCCAAAATGTTTGGGATACAGCTAAAGCATATTTTAAAGGAGTAGCCATAATTTATATGCCAAAAAAGATGAAAGACAAAAAACAACAACAAACTAAGCTTAAAGAAGAACTCACAAAACCAGAATTAGAACTACAAAGAGACCCACAAAACAAAACTCTTAAAGAACAAATGACGATAATAAAACATAAATTAAATCAAATAGAAGCTGAAGAAATGGCTCAATAAATCAAAAGAGTAAAACAAAACTTATTTGAAAATGCTAATAAGCTGGGGAGATGGTTGGCTTATAAACTGAAAAAAGAAAGAGAGAAGAAATTGATAAACAAATTACAAAACATGAGAGGCGATCTACAATGTCAAAACGATGCAATAAAAAATAATTAAATACAGAAGAAATTCCTCTGGAAAAAATAAGGCAATATTTAGAAAATTCTAAGCTACCAAAAAATCTCAGAGTATTTTAAAAATATGCTAAAAGGGAAAATAACAGTGATGGAGTTGACAGAAGCTATAAAAAAACAAAAAACAATAAAAGACACCAGGCCCATATGGGCTACCTGCAGAATTTTCCAAATGTTTACAAGATACGTTAACTTTACCAGTGTAAGAAGTGTGTAATGAGATAGTACTAAAGGCCAAATTACCAATAGATAGATGCCAATATTACTCTAATACCCAAAGAAGACTCAGACTTGACCCTGATAAAGAACTACAAACCAATATCTCTACTAAATGTGGATTATAAAATCTTTGTTTCAATACTAGCAGAAAGACTAAAGAGATTCTTGATTGAATTTATACATTCAGACCAAAATGGATTTTACCAAAGAGACAAAGAATAATTTAAGAATGATTTTAGATACATTTGAATATTACGAAATGCACCCAGGGAAACAGATGGCTTTGATTTTTTTAAATGCACAGAAAGCTTTTGATAATGTCAATTGGCAATTTATGGTCCAACAACTAAACTATATGGATTTTGGAGAAAATTTTATGAATATAATTCAAACAATTTATCATAGACAAATGGCCAAAATAATTGTGAACTGAGATTTTACAGAGAGTTTCAACATTAAAAAAGGCACAAGAAAAGGTGTCCATTATCCCCACTATTATTTATTTTAACTCTGCAAATATTGAAAAAGAATGTTAAACAGGATCCAGAAATTAAAGGAATGGAGATAAAAGATGAAAAGTACACCCCATTGCCGGCAATGGCAAAACTGTCCTGATACGTTGCACGACGTCATATGACGTCGCCAGTTTGACATGTCTGTATTAGAGGATCCATTAGAGACAAGTCCTAAATTATTAGCAAAGATTGAAGAATTTGGATAAGTAGCAGGACTGAAAAATCAATAGAGAAAAGACTAAAGTTATGGTTAAAAACTTTACAGATAAACAAAAAAAACCCAATTATCACAAAAACAGATCTTTAAGTAGTTAAGAAAGTTAAATATTTAGGGATATATCTAACAGCAAGGTATGTAACAATAAAAGAAGATAATTATGTAAAATTATTGAAACAAAACTAGACTTGGAAAAATGGAAAAATTGGAAAAATGGGAAAATCTACAGCTATCAATCTTGGCAAGAATAGTGACTGTGAAAATGAACATTTTACCAAAACTACTCTTTTTTATTTCAAACAATACCAATAAAAATTGACAGACAAAATCCAGGCACGTATTATCATCTTTGGTGGACATGCCCTAAAGCAAATAACTATTGGTCAAAAATACATAGATGGCTAGAAAAGATGATAAGAGCCTAGTAGTTTATAGTAGACTATAAACCAGAATTATTTCTTTTAGGTATAATTCCAGAAAATTATGATAAAAAATGTGTATACTTAATATTATATATATTAACAGCAGCAAGAATTATATTTGCTCAATATTGGAAAAATGAAGAAATACCATCTGAAGAAGATATAATTAAGAAAATTTTGGACTGTACAGAAATGGATAGGCTTACATTGAAAATGAAGGGGAAGCAAGATTCAGAATACTTTCAAACATGGGAATTATTTTTATAAATGGTTAGAAAAATGGAATAAAGGGTAGGAATGGAAATTATAATACTATTAATGTCAAACATGTAAACCCAGATGTGTTGCTTACTAAATACTAAAGCTTGTTACTGTAAAACATTAATAAAATATACAAAAAAATTCCCAAAGAATAGCTTAATTCCTTCAGGGGGACAAATCCCATCCTGACAGCTAACACCGTATCAGTGTCTTGTAATGAGTGACTTACATACATTAATTTTTAAACTATAAACTTCTGGATTGGATCATAATCATTAATCTCTGAGATTTAGAGTGGACACTGGCCAGCTTCTTCTAGGCAGTCAAGTTGCCCTTTTCTGTTTAACATCATTGAAGATAATGATTGTTTTGTCTGTGAGGCTTCCTATAAAGGATAAACTCATTGGAATGAAAAACAGATTATTCTAACATTCCCAGACATATTTGACTGTGAAATTAATAGTATTTTGAATGCATTCCTACTCTTCACAGAGAATAGGAAGTGAGATCTGATGGGGTTTTTTTCTTAAAATCGAGACCTTCTGTCTGTGTAAACAAGAGTGACCTGTCAAACCACTACTGCCTGTTGCTTTTTCTCTAGGTTCACCTCTGTGAAGTGGAAGGAATGGAGAGATTTGTGGACCAGGATTCTATTCTGGATGGTAGTGTCACCCAGCCTGACCTACTGGCTGTGAAAATGCTGAGAGCTGATGCCAACAAGAATGCCAGGTGCTTGGAACAAAGAGAAGAGGAGGCTGGATACAGCTGCAGTTGTCAGGGTTGAACTGTGAAGTCCTTGGTTCTCTGTGAGCTTGGTTGTTTTCCTGCAGATGTTTCATTACCCACTAGGTATCATCAGATGTTATTGAGTCAAGTAATGAAAAGTCTGCAAGGAAACAATCAAGCTCACAGGACATCAAGGGCTCCACAATCAGTCAATGGGTAGAAACATTTTTGTTATTATACAGAATTGACCAAAAATGAAGTCACAAAATGGATAACATTTCAGATATAGGAAATTTCTAAATCTTCATGTTAAAAATATTTTATGGCAAAACTGGATGAAATGTTCAAAACTGACGCTTCGGATTCGGTTTCTCCCAAAAATAATGTAGTTACCCTTTTCTTTAGGGTGGGAAAGTAGGCAATTGTTTTTGGAAATGAGATACAACGCAGAAGTTGCACTAAGACATATGCAAAAATAAAGGTGTATCTTCTGTTCCTTAGCCCAGCAGGGTTACAAATACTTTTTGGATTCAAAGGAATAATCCCACCAGTAGGAGTATTTAAAGATTTATTCCAATGCATTTTGAAAAAAATAAGATCCTAACATTCTGAAATGCAGGGAAGAGAATAAGAAAGACCCTGTGACCTTTCTGCTTGTCAGGGAACTTCAAAACATGGATGGCAAGTGGGCTGCTGCCAGCTTGATTTTGCCAAATAGAATACAGCTATCTTATTTTTCTTCAAGTACTAATCTTGCCAAAGATAAGGCTATGCCAAGGTTAAAGAGTACTGAAAATGAAAAAGAGCATCCCCTCCACCCAGGTATTCTAGACCAAAGACAGGACAAAAATAACAGTGTATACACTTCTAGTGATTAAAATAAATGCTTAATTCTATACTGTATATTCAGCCATTACATAGGAATATAGACTTCTATGCATCTAAGGAAAAAAGGGTCTACACCGTTATCTCCAACTGATTTTATACAGTGTTACTACAAAAGGTACAATAATTTTAAGAGTTTGGGGGGAACATTATTTTATGACCAATGATCATGTTCCTATGATTTTATGACCAATTAAGGCAAACATACTGTATTGCATAATTGTCATAGGAATCAATGTATTGCAAAGGTTTTGCCATTCCCATTCATTTCAGAGCCGCTTTGCTGGAAGCCTTCTTGGTACATTGTGTCCTTTGTCAATTAATATGCATATTTGGATATTGTTTGCTGTTTTAATTTTTTGCTTCTTGCTAAACAACCTGGGCAAAGAGGGAAGTCAAAGGGATTGTGACAGTTTGTTGCCAGTCCAAATTAAAGAATGGATTATTGGCAAACTGACCAATAAACTAATGCCCTATATTAAAATAACACACATAGCTTGTGCATAGTGCTTTTGAATATTCAGACATTTCATGTATTATTATTTTTTAAGACAACATAGCTCACTAATTTCACCCTTGCCTGACATTTGTTTCTGGCAGGAACGACTTCCTCAAGGAGATTAAGATTATGTCCAAGCTGAAGGATCCCAATATAATCCGGTTGCTGGCTGTGTGCATCACTGATGACCCTCTCTGCATGATTACTGAATACATGGAAAATGGTGATCTCAACCAGTTTCTGTCTCGTCAGGAACCCCAAAATTTGTCAGAGAGCTCTACCCCTCCTGTCAGGTAAAAAATAAGGACTCCCTCAACTCCAGCCTGTACAGTCTTTCTTGTGAGGGGGCCTTGTTCCACTTTTCAGTTGCACACATATCTTAGCTTGGGAGTATGTGTGCCTAATAAGAGTGTTGCAGTTTATTTTGAGGGCTCCGTTAGAGACGAGGATGTTGTAATGATTTCTATTACTCATTTCTCCTTGACTTTTGGAAGGTAAAAAGTCTATTCCTTTCCATTACTTTCAGTGGCCTTGGGATATGACTGTTCTCCGTGTTTCATGAATTTTCTGTATAATTAAGCTTACATCTGAATTTTGACAAAGGAGATATAACAATTTAGAAGATTTTGACGTGGGGAAGCACTAAGGGGCATCCTAGCTGATAAATTTCTTCACCCTCTTCTTTTTTGACCTCTGCTAACAGCCAGGAAGGAAGATTCTTTCTTATTGTTTGATTGAAAATCCCCATCTAGATGGATGCTTGTCCTTCAAAAGAAAAAGTTGTACTGTTAAGCATGGTGGAAAGATAGCACTCAGAACTAAACTAGACAATATGTTAATTGTGTAACAAGCTGCTCCACTCAAGTTTTAATTCAGTTTGTTGTTAAGTACATAATGCCAGATCTGTCTAGGGATCATCAGGCCTAGCTTAAGCTTCCTCACAGTTCTTATTGTATTAAAATTTCATCCCTAGCCATGAGAAATTTCTTTATTTTTTTGTATTAAAATAGTTGGTACATTTTTATTGCAAATCTGTGAAGGTTCAGAGTGATAAAATAAAAATAACCAACAAAAACACACAGGCTATTTTCAATTCTGTTCTTCCCTTCTGCCAATGGCGTCTTGGCTGCATTTAAACTCAGTTTTTTTTATAAGATTTTATTAATTTTTTCCATGCATACAATAATAATTTTTCAACCAACGTGCTGTCTGAGTTTAAATACACTAATAAAACTTTAATCCCTAATCCTTTATTCTTTCCTCTAACCATCAGTAAAATAAGTCCCAAGTTTGATAATATTCTATTTCTTCTTTTTCTTTAAGTCTCATAGTCAATCTGTCCATCTCTGTGCATTCTAGTATTTTTTTAATTATTTCTTCATCTGATGGTATTCCTTCATTTTTTCAATATTGCGCAAATATTATTCTTGCTGCTGTTGTGACATGTAAAATCAAATATAGGCTTCGTTTGTTAGTCTTTTCTGGCATTATACCTAATAAAAAAAGTTCAGGTTTAAAATCTACATGTTCTTCCAACATCTTTTCTAACTAAGTATGTATCTTTTTCCAATAACTCTTTACTTTGTCACATGTCCACCAAAAATTTTCGCCCTTCTTATCATTGTTTCTTTAACTTGTTCGCTTTCCATTTCCAAAATTAATAAAAAAATTATACATTTTCTTAATTAATTTCTCATCTGAAGTTAATAAAGTCTTATCAAATGCCGTTACTTTTTAAAAAATCCATACAGTTTAACATCTTTTTTCATATCTAGTTTGCATTTGTAAATGTGCCCACCACGACACCCTGATTTTCCATTTCTTGTTTAGATTTTAAATTCCCTTCAGGATTTAGAATATTTCTATATGTCCAGATTTTTTCAAAGTCCACCAGATTTGGGTGTACAAATGCTTCCATAGTTGACAACCACCCTGGAATTTTCAAATATATTTTATTTTTTATTTTTTCCCATACTGTTAACATGTTTTAGTTATATCCAGAGTCAACAAATATATATATGACAGAGGTGTCAAACTGCTGGCCTGCGGGCCGGACGTATTATCTGGAAGCCGCACGCACCCCATTGCCAGCAATGACAAAACCATCCCGATACGTTGTGCGACATCATGTGACATCATGAGTTTGACATGTCTGAGTTATGAGAAGTCTTTTCCATTGTAGACTCATACCAAGGCACTTAGTTTACACCAGGTGTTGTCTCAAGGTCAGATATTTCCAGATTTTTTTTAGTATTTAATAATACTGTAATTTCTTCTTTCGCCACTAAATGTCCTCATACACTATTTTATCAATGTCTGATTTTAGAAAATTTTTACAAAGTTTTTTTTAAAGTTCTTTATAGGTTATTTACTTGAGATTATATCTAGAAAATTTTTCCACCTCTTGTAGATTACATAGTCCTTCTTTGAATCAATCTGAGTTCAATTTTTAGAAGGTTTTTTTTTTTTTATTCCTCAAATATTTTCCCCTTTTGTAATTGCTCGCCGCCTTTAGATCTCAATCCTTCTGGGGTTTTTACTTTTTAGCTCTTCCCAATCAGAGACTCAATGTTTTTTAATCTAAAAGGAAAAGGAAAAAGCACTGGCTCACTCAGCTTCAGCATGTTGTTGACAATCAGCTGTTTGGTGGAGCACCGTGGCTCCTTGCTTTCCTTTCGGTTGGTGACGACTTGTGCTGCCTGGGCTCACTCAGCAGCCTTTCCTCCGTTCTTTCAGAGAGTTTTTTCAGTCTGCTCAGACTGACCGCTGTCTGGTCTGGACTCCTGAAGTATCCCTCCTTCTTCGTTACCCCTCAAAGGACAACTTTCTGACCCTTTAGGGTCGCTGGGCAAAGCAAAATTGGGCTGAGAGGCCGGAGCCCTGGCTTCTTCCACCCGTCTCTTTAGCCGCCAAAACCTAGGATGCCATGAGAAATTTCTATATGGTTTTGTTTTTAATTACAGGTAGTCCTCAACCATTCATTTAATGACCAAAGTTATAACGCCACTGAAAAAAGGGATTTATGACCATTTTTTAAACTTACAACCATTGCAGCATCCCCAGTGATTAAAGTGATCAAAATACGGATGCTTGGCAACTGACTCATATTGATGATGGTTGCAGTGTCCCAGGGTCATGTGATCACTTTTTGTGGCCTTCTGAAAAGCAAAGCCAATAGGAAAGCCATATTCACTTAACAACTGTAGTGATTCACTTAACAACTTTGGCAAGAAAGGTCATAAAATGGGGCAAAACTGACCTAACAACTGTGTTTCTTACGAACAGAAATTTGGGGGTCAATTGTGGTTGTAAGTCAAGAACTACCTGTATGTCCATGAAAGTTTTTTTTAAGAAAACCATATGATTGTAGGAATATAGTATAAAGAACCTAGTGGGAATGATTAGCTTCTTCCTTCCCCAGTTGTGATGGTTCTGATCTTGATTGGACTGTAGTTTATTTACAAACACACAAGTGGAATTTGAACAGAATAACATACAATTTATGCATCATATACTCTAACTTGTAGAAGATTTGATAAACATTTTGAGTGGAAATTCTTCTCTTTTGTTCTGGATAGCTGATGGCATATATATATGGCATGTTTGCTCTTTAAGACTGCTGACAATTACTAAAGGACTTATTTTTGTTTCTTTTTCTTGTGTCATTCAGTTATGCCAACTTGAAATTAATAGCTACCCAGATTGCTTCTGGCATGAAGTATCTTTCATCCCTGAATTTTGTTCACCGAGACTTGGCTACCCGCAACTGTCTGGTAGGGAAGAATTACACTATCAAGATAGCAGACTTTGGCATGAGCCGCAACCTTTACAGTGGGGACTACTACAGAATCCAGGGCCGGGCAGTGCTCCCTATTCGCTGGATGTCCTGGGAAAGCATTCTTTTGGTGAGCATGTTGCACTTGCTCTGATGACTACAGAAGTTAGTGGAACTTTTTTATGGACAGTCATAAACAACTGTCCACTTAATCTAACAATGGGGCCTATCCCTACTTTCACTTAATTGTGCTAAGCATCCTCTTTTGTCTGCAGTGACCTAATGATATTACCTTTATTTCATCTCCAGCGCATGCCTGAGACATCTTTATATCATATTTATTTGGGCCAGTATTAAAGTAGCATTTCCACTCTTATCCTAACACATATTTAATCATGAACTAGACAACCCGTGACTTGTTGGGCCACCATTTAAGATACTTCCTTATCTAAACAGAGAAACAGAATGATCATGGGTGATTTTTAAAAAAATCAGTGGGAGCGACTTCCAACCCCCCCATTAAGTTTCCTTGTGGGAAGTGGGCAGTGAGTTACAGAAATTTTCTTTCTTTCTTTCTTTCTTTCTTTCTTTCTTTCTTTCTTTCTTTCTTTCTTTCTTTCTTTCTTTCCTTCCCTCCCTCCCTCCCTCCCTCCCTCTTTGTTCTGTCCCTATTCCTTCTTTCTTTCCCTGCTTTCCTCATATTTTCCTTCCTGTGTACTATTCTACACAGTAGTTTCTTTGAAAAGTTTCAGCACCAGATGTGGACTGAAAAATGAAACATCTATTCCAGATTCCAGAAACATACAGATCTATATGATTCACACAATTTTATTTTCCTGTAGGCAATTTTTCCCCTTGGAGCTTGTTAATTCTTATGGAAACCATAAATCTCTGGTTAGTTATATATAATTCATTTGTCAGTGCAGCTAACTTTGGATGTTCTTGCTTTGACAACATATGGAGATGCAGCCATTTTCCTTCTTATGTTTTACTCTTAGAGTTAGAATTAGATGATAGTGGCGGGGGAGGAATGTGCATGGGAGTTTAGTTAGACATAACAATACTGTAACTAGGGTGAGAACCAAGGTTTTTTGAAATAAGAGATGATAAGAAATGGCGGGATGGAAAGCCGGCATTTCAAACTAATTGGAGAATGTGATTTATGACTGTTAATTAGAGGAGGGAATTGTGCTTTGATGCTATATGCTCAGGGGAGGGGAATTCAGATTTTGGCTTTGCTTATGTATGTGCCAATGCTATGCTGCTCAAATAAAGATTCTTTAAAGTAAATAATGCCTCAAAGTTCTTTGAAGACTTTCATCTGTCGGAACCATGACATTATTTTGATTTTCTCTCCTCTGTTCCTCCAACCAGGGAAAATTCACAACTGCAAGTGATGTGTGGGCTTTTGGTGTTACACTTTGGGAAACCTTCACATTTTGCCGAGAGCAACCATATTCTCAACTATCTGATGAGCAAGTAATTGAGAATACTGGAGAATTTTTCAGAAATCACGGACGACAGGTATGAAAATATATGAATATTTTAGATAGATGTTTGCAGACTCAGAAAATGGAAACATCATTTGATCTGTTGGGGAAACTATGCAGGTAATGCATACTTAACAATGGTAATTGGGACCAGAATTCCCATGGCTAAATGATATAGGCATAAAACCTGATGGCATATGACCGCCCCATTTAGCAACAGCAATTCTAGTTCTTTGTGATTACTTTTAAGGAATTGCATGATGTTGTTAAGCACGACATCTCATGGTCATACCATTTGCATCCTCATGCCGACTTCCCCACTGATTTTTCTTGTTGGGAGGTGGCAGTAAAGGTTGTAAATAGTGACCATGTAACCAGAGGATGTGGCAATGTTGTAATTGTGACCTGGGTGTTGAGTGAGTTGGCATTAAGTAAGGACCTCCTATACTTCAGAAATTTATAGCGTTTTAATATGCAGTTCAATATCTAGCTATGAATAATTTCTGTTCACTTTATTTGCTTGAATAGGCATGTTTTTTACTCATATTATTTTGACACATTTTTGTGTGCTGCATTCACTGACTGATTTTAAAAAAAGGAAAAAAAAATACCATTCTTTCTGACCTGAGCTAGAAGGGAAAATTAGAACAATTCTAGTTGAATTTCCAAGGTTAAAAAGAAAAGAGAAACAATCACCTTTCATTGAGGAGTTTATAACAACAAAAGTCCAGCTTTTCACCATTTAAAAAAGTGTGTTTAAAAAAATGGGCCATATAAAGAAAGCAGTGACAATGGGAACGGCACTACCTTTGTCAGCCATCTGACTAGCAAACTCAAAATCAAGGAATTTTCAAGGCGTTGGAATGCCATAAAAGATAAAAACTTTATTGAATACATGTCTCAGAGCTGAAGAAGTAAAATCAACTCTGCTTTTCCCAGACGAAAATCTGCCTAGATAATAGTTTTTTGTAGCCCCTACCCACCAAGTGTTGATGTTGCACAATCATACATCTTTCGTTTGCTATGAGAACCATCCACTTCTCCGATGGACACCTACATTAGTAACTTTGACATTCTTGTAAACCAGGGGTTCTCAACCTTGGCAACTTTAAGACTTGTGGACTTCAAGCAAAGCTGGCTGAGGAATTCTGGGAGTTGAAGTCCACAAGTCTTAAAGTTGCCAAGGCTTAGAACCCCTGTTGTAGACTCTCACGGTCCATGGATGGCTTCTTAGATTCCCACTTTCTTCCTAAGCTTCCTCCCCTCCCCCTTGTTTCTATAGCAAGTTAAGTAGTGACAGATGTTAGCAGGTGTCTTAGTAATTCACCTTGACAACCTCTCTGTATTGCACAGAGCACAGAGCCACCAAATGGATTGAAAGTGTTTGCCTGCAATATAATGAGGCACAATAGGCAAATCCGATAGCATCACTTGTGCTAGTGCTAGTCAAACACACTACTTTTGATGTGCAACAGAAAGGTTTGACACCTCTAGAAGCAACATTTCAAGATAAGACAAATACTTTCCAAGAGGAAATTTATGCAATGCTATGACAGATACAAATCACAATAGCTTTAAACCATGAGGAGATTAAATACAACTTTGATAACATAAATGTATATACTTCTAACTTAAATTTACAATAAAAAAGGCCCAAAAATGATGGTAAAGAATGAACAACCAAATCAGATAACAGAATGTGAACTAGAAAAAAATGACTTAATTAGTGAAGCCATAAATGAAGGGAATTATAACTTAATACAAACAAGAAAAAACTTACAAGATTTGGATACAACAATAAATACGAAAATATACCTTTATGCATTAGAACGTCAAAATAAACCTGAAAAGAAAGAAGACTTAACAAAATGGACACTGCTAAGAGAATCACTGTTTGGGAGACAAAAAGCATAGTATCTTACATACTATGTATCCTCTACTTCTAACAACAACTACAAAAATACAACAACTGTTTGACAAGTTGAAAATATTAATTTGCAAAATTATTTGGCAAAGGAAGAAGGCCAGAGACGGGCTTAACAGACTTGATCTGCCCTACCAGATGGAAGATTATATGAGCAAACACTTGTTTGAATATGGCTAAATAAATAAATAAGTTTGGCCATAAAGGGGCTTTAGAATAAGTGGGATAAGAGATATGAGTAATATAGTATTTTTGATAAGATACAAAATGTAAAAATACTGGGATGATGTAAGTGAAGGAAAAGTTTGAATTTTAAAGATAAATTAAGCTTGAAAAGATTTAGGATTAAGGAATGATTGAAGTATTGAGGGGAAATTAGGCTTAATAAGAACTTTGAAAATGAATATATAGTGATTTAACAAATCAACTTTTACAAATAGAAGTGAAATATAAATTGATTAGAGATGATGTTAGAAGTAGATGTTATGATAGATAAGTAGTATAGTTTGTCTATAATATATAAAATATGAAAATACTGGGATAATATATTTAAATAGAAAATTTGGACATTTAGATGTTAATTACTGAGAAAATTATGATTGATAAGAATTGTTTGAATATTAAGGAGAAATTAAGCTTAAACAAGATTTCTGAAAATAAGATATATTATTTTTTAAAAAATAATATAAGTTGATAAGAAAAAATGCTATACATGGACGCTATTATTGTTGGTATAAATGTAGAAGAAAATGTTTATTTTAATCATTTATATATGAAAATATCAAATATCAAAAATGATATTTGTTTAATGTTGAAGAATACTACTGGGAGAAGAGAAGATCAAAGAAATATATTATTAATTGATATATTAATTATGGAAATATAAAAATTAATTATTGATTGTTAATTAACTATTATTAATTGTATATTTTTCCTAAAAAAATTATGAACCAAGACAACATGCTGTACACAAGGCACTAAGGTTGTTATTATGAAAAAAAATCAATAAAACTTAAAAAAAAAGAGAGGGAAGTGGAAGTTTACTTCTGGATTGGCTCAGGTTGGGTAGATAGTAACATGCATTCTTGCTTTCAAGAAACAGTGTTTTGCTCAAGCTTCATTCTGCAAATCAGACCAGTATTTAGCTCAGAAAGAAAAAATACTAGGCAATATGTTGATAAAATCACATTTAACCTAAATTTACTTCACTGTGTTGTTTCAAGAATAAAGAAAGATAGCATCTTACAAATTAACTGAACTCTGTGGAGAAGGGATGAGATGCAAATGTGCTAAATAGATTAGGGCTTTTCAACCTTTTCACCCATTGTACCACTTTTAGGATATGGCAATATCCGAGTACCACCAGTCACCTAGCAAGGTGTCAAAAACTTGATGACCCCCCCCAAAATGGAAAAAAGTGAGGAAGTACAGGTAGTCCTCGACTTACAACAGTTCGCTTAGTTACTGTTCAAAGTTACAATGGCACCGAAAAAAGTGTCTCCTAAGCACAGCCGAGCAAGACACCTGCCTGCCCGCCTGGCGGCGCTCTTCCTCCTGTTCGAGGTTTTCATTATTGTGAGCATTTCTGTTGAGAATTGGCAGCAGGGGTGGGGTGGGGGGTGTTTGGTTTTTATTCCACCCATCTGCTGGGTGGTTGCAGCAAGTTTTGGTCACTTCACATGACCCTGGGACACTGTGACCATCATATATGTGAATCAGTTGCCAAGTATCTGAATGTAAATCACAAGCCTGGAGATGCTGCAACATTCCAGCTGATCGGTGCTTCTTCTGGGCTCAGCAGAAGCACCAGGATCAGCACTGAGCTCCAGCTGGAGCCTGGCGCTGATCCTGGCACTTCCGTTGAGCTCTGGCAGCCCTGCAGCTCCAGCCATCTCTCACTCAGGCTTGTGCGGTGCTTCCATCAGTTCAGCTCATTCCCCTCCCCTGCTACTAGGATGGTCGCATACCACCTGCTAGGTGTCAATGTACCACAGGTGGTACCCGTACCACTGATTGAAAAGCCTTGAAATAGATCACCATTACAAAATAAATGAGATTATTTTCTACTATGAATCACATTCTACTATGAAATAGCTATGAACAGAAGAAGGAATTGTGCCTTCCTTCAATATTCACTTTTCTCTCCCTCTACTATTTCAGACGTACCTTCCTCAACCTCCATTTTGCCCTGATCCTGTATATAAGCTAATGCTCAACTGTTGGAGACGAGATACCAAAACTCGCCCTTCCTTTCAAGAAATCCATTGCTTTCTTCAAGAAGCAACTACTTCATAGTGATGCCTTCAAATGCTATGGACCACCTCTTCCCCTTGCCATGTTACCCTTTCCAAGTTATACCCAGAACTGAAGCCACTTCACCTGGAGCCATCATTTCCTTTAATAACACAGCTGGACTCAAATCAACCATCAAAGGACAGATGAGAGAGAAATGGGGATCTGAACAGGTCTGCCACATAACCTCATTCACAGTGCTGTGTTTTGGACTGGTAAAGACTGAAAAAGTTATTTATCTTGTAAATGTTCTAGGTTGTGTTTTGTTTAATGGAATTTGTCCATGAAAGAGATGAAAACGTATTCTTTTTTCCTTAAAAAAGGATATGAAAAAAAGCTTGAAAATGGAATTGAGCTGGAAATAGGCACATGAATTAGGAAAGTACTGAAGCAATTAGTACGGTAATGTTTTATGCCACTGCTGTGTGCAAGAGCTGTAATTCTGTAAGAGGCGGTAAAAGAGCAGAATGTTATACTGGACATAGATTGTGGCTTGGACAATGCTTGCTGAAATCTCTAAAGCCAAAGAAGGTATGAAATAGATTTTCTGTGATTTAGGACAGAATTTGTTAATACAGAATGGGTTGGGTAAACTTAAAGAAAGTATGCAATTTTGTATCATTTAAACACTATGCAGAGTTTGCAAAATGTAATTAATTTGGGGTGGAACCTAGATGGCTCTGAGCAGAATCTTTGTGTGTAACAAAAATCTGGATGTTGTAGAACAGGGCTTTTCAATCTTTTCACCAATTGTACCACTTTTAGGATATGGAAATATTCAAGTACCACCTAGCAAGGTGTCAAAAACTTGATGACCAAAAAAAAAAAAACCTGTTCAAAGTTGCAATTGCACTGAAATGACTTATGACCATTTTTCACACTTATGACCATTGCAGCATGCCCAGGGTCATGTCATTTATATTTGGATGCTTGGCAATTAATTCATATTTATGATGGTCACAGTGTTCCAGGGTCATGTGATCCCCTTTTGCAACTTTTTACAAGCAAAGTCAAGGGCAGGGCTGCTAGTGGCCAAGTGCTGAGGTGGGACTTCCTTCCCTCCCTCCCTCCCTCCCTACTTCCCTCTTTCTCATGTCCACCTCCTTCTGAAGGAGGAATTTGAACCCCCCCACCACTATATTTTATCTCTTCCATATATTTATCAAACAAGGAAAAGTCTCCAGAGACAGAAAAGACAAGCTGCTGAGTAAACTAGCTTAAAAAGGCACATTCCCCTTTAAGAATTAGCTACTGGCTAAAAAGGAAAGTTAAGGAGTGCAGCCTGCACTTAAGGAAGAAAAAAAATGTAGTAAGTATTGGCTGCTGGCTAAGGCAGCCTCCCCAAATAGCTCCATTCATAAGTAAAGGAATGTTACAGGCAAAATCCATTCAGGAGAAAAATACTTCAAAATCCCTTGCAGCAAATCGTACAACTAACAACAGCAGAGCAATAGAAGCTAACACGAGACATCAGCCATCAGCCAAATAAAAATTGCCAAACACTCCTTAAGAACACAAAGCCCACATTGCACAAATCCCAGAACTTCAAAAGCACATAAGAATCCTTCTATTCTCCATCTCCCTCCCTCTCTCCCTCCTCAGTGCCTCACCTCCAGCTGATGCTGCCTTTTTTCATTCCTGGTGGAGAGCAATCCCTTCCCCCTGCATTTCTTGCCTGTTTGTTGCTGCCAGCACAGGTGGCTGCCACAGAAGTTGTAGATTGGCTCATGGCCAGACTGCTTGGCTTGCTTGAACTCATCTCCTCTCCTCCCCACCTCCTTCTTTCCCTTTGGTGCAGCTAGAGCTGACTCCACCTCCTCCCAAAGCTGCTTCTTTTTTTACTCTCTCCCTCTCCCACCCAAACTGCCTCCTTTTATAGCCTCTCCTGTTTCCGCCCCCTCCTCCTCCTTTCTCATGGGAGAGGGTAAGCTGGAAGTGAATCCGGGGCCTTTGCCTTGCCCCAGCCACTCTGCAGCTCCGGAGGACTCTCTCACGGTAAGTCCTTCCCCGTGCTGGCTCTTTCCCTCCCCCACTGCACTTGGCTAGGTACTACCTGCCACGTGTTAATGTACCACAAGTGGTACACATACCATGGGTTGAAAAGCCCTGTATATGCCCCATTTATAGTCTAACACATTTCACTCACTGCCCTGTAGAGACCAGAGTGCCTTGGCCTCTCCCCCTAACCCTAACTCTGGGTGCTGCCGAAAGAGGAAGATACCCAATCCTGATGTACAGATGGAAAGTTACAATAGGTGACATGCATTCACACTGTCAATAGATGGCAGACATTGTGTCTATGGAGATTCTCAATCATCCAGGTCATGGATATCCCAAGGATGTTTTTCCAAAAAGCAACTGGACTTACTTGGTTTTTTTCCTTGAAAAATGTTTCGCTTTTTCTCCAAGAAGTTTGTTCAGAACTTTTGGAAAAGTACCTTTGGGACAGGTGCAGACATCTTTAAAATCAACTAAAAGTCCTTTAGATAGATCTGCAGTTTTTGAGGGAAAGCAAACTAACAATAAAGCTGTTGATTTTCTTATGCAAAACATACTCCATACCTCTTATTCCATTTGTACATGCAATCTCACCAGTCAAACAGGTTTGGCCAAGGTATTTGATAGGAGCATTGAGTAAAGTCTGGCCCAGACAAAGAAGCAACTCCCTTCTTCACTTCACTTAGTTATATATAAAGACTTGATGCTAGGTAGATTCAGATATATGTCTTTTGTTCTGAATGTTAGGTACTGGAAAAATTAGTCAATTCCTTCTGAACTAAGGTGCAGTTACAATAACTTTTAAGTATATCTTGCTTACTTCCCCTTGTGGCTTTTGGCTCCGTTTGAATATCTGACCTTGTTTTTAGCTTATAGCAGATAGTTCACAAAGTCACAAAGTTGGATTTGCTTTTACCTGGTATATAACAGCTGCAATACATGCTGCTTTACATAGTCATCTTTTTGGATGTCCTAAATGTCCTCTCTCATGGGCTTTATGTGTCTGAAGTGTGGAAGCCTGTGTATAATTCAGATTGTTTCCCGAAAGAGGAAGATATGTCAGTAAAGGGCAATGAAATTCAATTAGAATGATCAAGGGAATGGAGCATATTAGGATAAACTAGCATATTTGGTACTCTAGTTCAGAACAGAGTGGGACAAAACAGACAAGACTGCAGTTTAGCTCCTGATCTTCCATTGGACTATAAGAAACCTTTTGGTGATATAAGGGAAGGGACTAAATTTATTTCAGCTATTTATTTATTTATTTATTTTGCATCTTTTCAAGGTTTTAGAGATGCTGGTAGAGCAGGACACCTGTAAGAAGCAAACTGCTCCTCCCCCCACCCTCAAAACAGAGAAATAGCTATCTGTGGAGCACATTTCAATTTTTTTTGCACGTATGTACTTCTACTCTCAATTACCCAAATTCTTAAACAAGCAATTTCAGGTTAGTTTGAAGGTTTGAGGTATAAGAATGCAGTATAAGAGAAAAAAATTCCTAGAGATCCTCATGCTGCCATTTTCATCATTTTTTTTTTTAAATCCCATTGATATTTAGCAATATAGTCTCAGGATGCTAGGACATGCAATTTGGATCTAGGTGAATCACAAGCAGGCCACGGGCTTTTAAAATGGTCATTATTAAATCATGCACTGTATAAGGAATAGAAAATGTGTAATTAGGATGTCCAGTTAAACAAAAAAAAAAGCAAGAATATTGATACAGGACTGCTGTTAGATCAAAAAAATCACCGTGACATGCAGTTCAAGTAGATTTCTTATGTTTTTCTTTTGTATGTGGAATCTATGAAAGAGAAGCTATCAGCTGACAGGCTCCTTTGGACATAGGTTGAGTGGTATTTCAAAAGTTATAGTTCTCATTAGATTATGAACCATATTAACAATAGGTTGATTCATACTTCTTGCAATCAAATGTCTTGGATTTTTTCATTATGAATATAAGACTGATATTTTCCAAAGTTTAGTGATGCAAATCTTTTAATGCTATAGATTTTATATGAAATCAGTGGCTCCTTATTTGTTTGGTGACAGAACACCAAGATGTTGTGATAAGTAGACATGACTTGGAATCATCAGTTAATTGCTAATAAATCTAGAGCATAATAAGGAATTAATGGGTGAGTTACTTCTTTTACAGATAGGTAGACCCTGAACAAAGACAGATTGTCTCAGTGACACTGAAAATCATCTGGGTACCACAAGATTATAACAGTATAGTTTACAAATAATAAAGTAAGTTTCCTTGGAGAGATTAGGCAAAGGAGTGGGGGGAGGAGAAACTGTTTTCTGAGACTTCAAGGCTGGTCTGGCTTGACATGTTTTGACTGAGATGAGAAAGTATGTTTGCTGCACAGTTTTATCACACACTGCACAAATGGATCTCACAATTGCTGCTAGGATATCACTCTGTTTTCTTGGCACTCATCTACAAAACAACCTTAAATCAAGCTTTGTGGGTCTTTATGGTCAGCTTCTCTACCTTTCCTTTGATCACTGGACAAGGATAGGAAAAATGAAGTTACTGGCCAGGTTATTTTATCTGTAATGTCTTGAGAGACTCATGCCTTTCTGTTTTACTCATTAATGTGTATCTTATAGATAGAAAGTTCTGCACCTAAACCTAGTTTCTTCTGCAAATTTTACTGTTGTTAATTCAATAGCATTTCTTCTTTTTGATTGCTCATTTAGGATGCAGCCATAAGAAATTCTTCTGCTTGTACTTACTTTGTGCTCATAAACCATGCAGAAATAGCTCACTTGTGGAATCAGAGCAAGGCTAGGAATAAAATGGAATTTAAACTGTTAAATGTAGGAAGAAAAGAATCGTCATGTCCACACCACACATACTCCTCACCATACACTACTCCTTTGAAAAGTGGATATCATTTATGTCTCCTTCTTTATAGATGAATTGGCTAGAACTTCTAGCTGGGCTTGAGCTTCTAATTAGAAGTTAGGCTTGCATTTCTAATTGAGCCCAAAATTTGTATGATTATTATAAGGCAGTATCTCATTACTTAATGTCTTCCAAATAAGGTAGGAAAACTAACAGGATTTCAAATCAGTATTTAATTGTAGGTTTCCATTATATATTAGTGATTCCATATTTAATAATTCAGTCCCTCACATACTAGCTCTTACACCCAAGCAATAATAATCAGTCCTTTACTTATCTCTTCAAGAAACACAATGCCAATAAACTCACATTGCTCACAAATAGGCGAATAAGGCAAGAAACAATCCTTTATGGACAACCAAGCTGGGAAGCTTTGTAAATAATCCCTTTTCACTGAGTCTTCAATATAGGAGCACATTTTCATAAATTCATCTATAAAGCTGTATTTATCGTATTTGCAGTGCAGTAGAAATAAACTGGGCAAATACAAATTGCAGAACCTTGAAATAAGCAGTAGTTTATATAAGTAACTAGTAAAGGCAGTGTTTTTACCTATTTTAAAAAAATATTCATTTGCAAACTTTCTGTAAAGTATCACACTAGGTCTTAAAGCACAGGCCAGCAATCTATGAACTGAAGCATCTACCATTCTTTTTTATGACATTTGGGCTTTTCCCAAATTATGGTAGCATAGTTTAAAATAGTATGTTTTTTTTAAAAAAATAATCTAGGTAAGCACATTAAGATAGACTTGATATATTTATTTTATTGACTTTCTTTATTTTTTAAAAGAAAATTCCAGACCTCCTATCCCTACTCCTATAAAAGCTGGAGAACAAAAACGAAATGTCTTTTAAAAATTTACAAATTGAGAAGGCTACTCACCCCATGCAAAAAAACTGTGGACAGCTC